AAATACCGGCATGGGCCGGTGTTGGAACCCAGAGACCAGCAGAAGGCCCTCAAAAACCAAGATGGGCCTCAGAGGCCGGCATCAGGTCTTCAGAATCCCGTGCAAGGCCTCATAGGCTAATGTGGGTCCTTACAGGTCAGCATGGGCCCTTAGAGGTCAGTGTGGGGCCCTAAAAGACCGGCATGGGCCGGCGTTGGACCCCTCAGGCCAAGGTGGACCCTCAGAGGCCGATGCGGACCCTTAGAGGCCGGCATCGGGTCTTCAGAATTCAGTGCGGGGCCCTCAAAGGCACCTAAAGGCACCCCAGAGACAGAAATGAGGCCACCAGAGGCCGGTGTGAGGCCCTCAGACGCCGGCTGGGCCCTTGAGGCCGGTTTAGGGGCCCTCAAATGAGGTCAATGTGGGTTCTCAGCGGTCAATGTGGGCGCTTGACCGCCACTGAAGGGCCCTCCGAGATCAGTGTAGGACCCTCAAAGACTGGTTTGGGAGCTGTTAATAGCTAGCGTGGGATTCTTGAGTCTCGTGACAATCGAATAAGGGCCAGAGCCCCATACGCCCATGGGGGCCCATTGGTTGTTTGGGGGGGCCAAATGATATGATGGCCCCCTGATTAGCCTTTGGAGGGGGGAAGGGCATGGCCCTGATCCCCCTCTGCGACCGTCACTGCACTGAAAGTGGAAGGGGGAGGGGCAGAAACAGACATTGCTGGCCCCCAGCCTGTTTGAAACGAGGCTGAGGCACGGTGACCCTGGCCCCCAGCTAGTACGTCTTTGACGAACTATGCCGACCCCAAGCAGATAAGGTCAAGCGTTGGTCGTTTGTATACGCATTCTCCTGCACCGTGCTAGTATTGTATTAGTATTGCCTATACCTTTTTAGTGCTCGCTGTCCCGCGCCTCGTATTCAACAAAATGCTGTCACCAGGACTCACAGTCTTGTCTCTGATATGGTTTCCTTCATTGAGTGAAGGAAATTGCGGTCAATAACGCTGTAGAAACAAACAGGAATCCTCATTAAGGGCAAGCTGAATAGTTGTCAAGTTACCGGGTGGTAGGTTAGGTACAGATGTCCGTGAACTTAGCGACGTATACGTATACGTATTCAGCGACGAATTCCAAATCACTTCAGATTCATGGCATGGGTTAAGTTGACCATGCTGAACACGAATATGACATTTATTTTAACTTTTGAGCTGATCTTCATGGTTAAAATCCGGTTTTAATGACGGGGAACCGCATAACGTCGCGAAAATAAAAACCCACGAATTCCAAAGTATGTGCAAAATGTAGAGCTCATCCAGATCTAACGTCCGTGGCAGAATCCAAGCTCGTGGGTCTTTAACTTCATGGTTAAAATCTGGTTTAAATGACGGGGAACCGCATAACGTCGCGAAAATAAAAACCCACGAATTCCAAAGTATATGCAAAATGTAGAGCTCATCCAGATCTAACGTCCGTGGAAGAATCCAAGCTCGTGGCTCAACGCCTTCATGGTTAAAATCCGGTTTAAATGACGGGGAACCGCATAACGTCGCGAAAATAAAAACCCACGAATTCCAAGGTATGTGCAAAATGTAGAGCTCATCCAGATCTAACGTCCGTGGCAGAATCCAAGCTCGTGGCTCTTTAACTTCATGGTTAAAATCCGGTTTAAATGACGGGGAACAGCATAACGTCGCGAAAATAAAAACCCAAGAATTCCAAAGTATGTGCAAAATGTAGAGCTCATCGAGATCTAACGTCCGTGGAAGAATCCAAGTTCGTGGGTCTTTAACTTCATGGTTAATATCTGGTTTAAATGACGGGGAACCGCATAACGTCGCGAAAATATTTCACGTCGTGAGACATTCCATCATACAATGGCTATTCATAGCCTCGAGTCAAGAAGGTACAGTCGGTGCAGGTGCAATAGGTGGGTACATAAAAACACACATGCATGCATACGAGTGAGTGAACGGCGTCAGATATAATATAAAATAACGTCAGCGAGTCTGATCAGCCGTCATTCTGACTCCTCAGAAGCCACTCACGCAGCTCTTTCTTAAAAAGAGAGTGCTGCATATCACGCATCGCTGGTGGGAGTCTATTGAACGCTGTCACGTGAGAGTATAAAAACCTCCGCCTCCCAGACTCTGATAAAATCTGGGGCGTCACGAGATGGTCTGACTGTCGCGTGGATCGGCGGGTGACATCCTGTCGAGTGATGAGACCACTCGAGAGTGCCTCTGGCTCGGATGTGCGCAGGATCTTGTTTAGCAGCGTCAAGCCATGGTACAGATACAAGTTATCAGCGGTAAACCATTCCAGCTGTCGCAACACGTCGCTAATGTGGTCGAATTTCCTCCGGCCGGAGATAACACGCGCACAGAAGTTGAGGACTCGCTGAAGGCGGCCAAGCTGAGTCTTGTTCGCAGACCCATACACGGTAATACAGTAGCGTATCAGCGAGACAACGAGTCCCTCGACCAGTCGGACCATGCAGGACTGTGGCAGGCAGTGCCGGCTGTGAGCGAGGCCACACAGTGTGCCGGTGCAGCGGCGTACAACGTCATCAATGTGGGCCGAGAACGTCAGGCTCTGATCAAACACGACACCCAGGTTCCGCACAGTGGGGGAGCCGGCGACAGTGGCGCCCATGAAACTGATGTTGACAGGTGGAAGCCGCTTAATGTTTTGCCTGGATCCGGTTAAGATGAGCTGAGTTTTTTTCTGCGTTAACTTTCAAACCATTTTTGCTGAACCAATGACCTAGTTTAACAAGAACGTTCTCCATAGTGACTACTAAGGAGCCAATGTCGCCGGGCCCCCCAGTGACCAGAACCTGAGTGTCATCGGCGTATTGCACAATATCCGCGTCGTTGTCAGCGTAAAGAGGCAAGTCATTTGCATACACGGAGTACAACAGTGGCCCAAGCGCTGACCCCTGGTAGGTACCGATGGCATTGGGGAGCGGTCGAGAGGTGCACCGAGAGCCGACGGACATCTGCACACAGACCTGCTGGTAGTGGTCGCTTAAATAGCTCTCGAACCACCGTGTGTCAACGCCGTATAAACACAACTTGTTCAGCAGACGGTCATGCGGAATAACATCGAAACACTTTGACAGGTCGAGTAATGAGATAAGAGCAACTTTGCCATGATCCATCGCGGTAAAAACTGAGTCGGTGACGGTAAGAAGCGCGGTATCTGTACTATGGTTCGGCCTAAAACCATGCTGACTAGAAGAAAACAGGTGATGTGATGAGAAGTAGTAAAAAAGCTGTTCGTACACAACACGTTCGGTGATCTTGGCGATAGTCGGTAAAATAGAAATCGGTCGGTAGTTTGAAATGTCGGTAGATTTAGTCGATTTCTGAATCGGATGTACGAGCGTCAGTTTCCAAGCGCGAGGAACATGATGTGACACGAGGCTCGAGTTGACAATGTGCGTTAAAATATGGCACAGCGACGGCAGACACTGTTTTATAAAATGCACGCAAAGTCCGTCAGCACCGCACACCTTACTGCTCCGCATTCTCCCCACCACTCGGCGCAGGTCGTCCGGGCATATCGGGGTGACCTGGAAAGCCCCAGTGGAGACGCGCGGCAGGCGGGTCGGCAGCTCCGGGCCGGCCGCTGTCACCTGTCGAGCGGTCCTCGGGCCCACCTCCACAAAGAACCGGTTTAGTTCGTCGGCGTCGGCGGCGGGGGTGGATCTGTCGCTCCGCTTCGGAGCCACTATGGGCTGCACGCTGCGCCACAAACCGCTCGGCCCGGCCCGGTCCACGCGCCGCTCCAGCTCCTCGCGCGTGTCGCGCCGTATCGCCGACCGGACCTGGCGGTTCAGCTGCTTGTAGGTGTCGATGTGACCGTCTCGGAGTGCAGCCCGCCGCTGTGCCATGAGCTCCTTGGTGGCATCAGTGACTGGCGGGGCGACCGGGTTCCGCACCCTGACACGTCTCTCCGGGAGCAGTATGTCCAGAATGGGTCGTGTCACTGCGAGTAGGTAGTCCCACTGCTCCTCCGGGCTGTCACTCGCATACACTGGAGTCCAGTCCACCTCCGTCAGCTGGCGATTGGCCTCGTCCGCGTCAAACCTGGACCAGCACCTGGTGGCAATGGTGCAGGGCTGTGGCCTCTGGTCCGACACGGACAGCAACACTCGCGACCAGTTATGGGGACTGTAATCACAGTGGACAACACCGGCCCGGTCGACGCTCTGGTTGGTGATTATGACGTCGATGATGGAGCCAGACGCGCGGAACGTCGGCTCGGTGGTGTGCTGCTGCAGGGAGTAGCCGCGCAGCAGCTGCCGGAACTGCTCCGCCGCCGCGCTGTCCGTCTTCATATTGATGTTTATGTCCCCGGCGATCACAATTGGACCACTGTGCCGAGTGAGAATGTACTGGAGCTGCTGCTCCAGCTCCGCCAGGTCGGCTGTCACTCTGGCCTGGGTCTGGATCGGTGGCCGATATACCGCGCACACCATGACACGGGCCGGGCCGGCACGGACCTGGACCCAGAGGGTCTCCAGCCGTGTACCGGCAATAGGCGGGTCAGGTGTTTCCACGGTGGTTGCCTCCAGCGGAGCTCTAATCGCCGTGGCAACTCCACCGTAGCCCTTGCCATCGGGACGGTCACGCCGGCACACTTGGTAGCCGGGGATCGGAATCAGCCTGTTGTGTGTCGCAGGCTTCATCCAAGTCTCATTCAGAATTACCAGGTCATATCCGTGCTCGGCAATGTCATGCCTCAGTGACAGGAGCTTCGGTTTCAGTGACTGTATGTTGAGCTGGCCGATGTATAGCTGGCCGGGTCGGGCGCGAGCTCTCCAGAGCCGCCCTCCCCGCGCCCCGCGCCTCCTGCTCCGCACCCCTCGCCGGGTGCGCCCACGCGTGCCGCCGTCGGCCACAGTCGCCGCCGGGATGGGACAGTCCATACCCCAGGGGCATGTGACCTCGGCGCGGTCAGTGACACGGCGAAGAGGCCGGGCCGGTCGGGCTGCGGAGAGCTGTCCGCGCAGTCGGGCGTCGGCCGGCCGCGCCGAGCCGGCCGGGGCGGCACAGCGTCCAGCCCGGCTGTAGGGCGGCGCGGGGGCCGGGGCAGCAGCGAGCACCAGCAGTCGAACCGCAGCCAGCAGTGCCAAACAGCGAAGCAGCTCACAGTGCATAGTGATTGCAGTGCAATAGCGTCGCGGCACGGCCGACGAGACCTCAGTGAAAGCGCACGTGAATCTCCGTCTCGTCACGCGCTCCTCATCACACGGTCGGCGTCGGCGTCACACGGCGCCACACACAAGCACTGCTCACAGGCAGTCCTCGGGTAGGTAATATCAGGTCACGTCCAGACTGATCGCCGTCACTCACTGTGTCCAATCACTCGCACACGCACGCAAGGAAAGGTTTCACACTCGCTCAGAGTACCGGCAGTCACAGGGTCTGTCACCTCCGGCACAGTGGGGCAGGACGAGCCCCGCGCGCGTCCGGCCGCTGGCGCCGCGCAGCGAGAACTGTAAAAACCCACGAATTCCAAAGTATGTGCAAAATGTAGAGCTCATCCAGATCTAACGTCCATGGAAGAAACCAAGTTCGTGGCTCTTTAACTTCATGGTTAATATCTGGTTTAAATGACGGGGAACCGCATAACGTCGCGAAAATAAAAACCCACGAATTCCAAAGTATATGCAAAATGTAGAGCTCATCCAGATCTAACGTCCGTGGAAGAATCCAAGCTCGTGGCTCATCGCCTTCATGGTTAAAATCCGGTTTAAATGACGGGGAACCGCATAACGTCGCGAAAATAAAAACGCACGAATTCCAAAGTATGTGCGAAATGTAGAGCTCATCCAGATCTAACGTCCGTGGAATAATCCAAGTTCGTGGCTCTTTAACTTCATGGTTGATATCTGGTTTAAATGACGGGGAACCGCATAACGTCGCGAAAATAAAAACCCACGAATTCCAAAGTATATGCAAAATGTAGAGCTCATCCAGATCTAACGTCCGTGGAAGAATCCAAGCTCGTGACTCTTTAACTTCATGGTTAATATCTGGTTTAAATGACGGGAAACCGCATAACGCCGCGAAAATAAAAACCCACGAATTCCAAAGTATGCGCAAAATGTAGAGCTCATCCAGATCTAACGTCCGTGGAAGAATCCAAGTTCGTGGCTCTTTAACTTCATGGTTAATATCTGGTTTAAATGACGGAGAACCGCATAACGTCGCGAAAATAAAAACCCACGAATTCCAAAGTATATGCAAAATGTAGAGCTCATCCAGATCTAACGTCCGTGGAAGAATCCAAGCTCGTGGCTCAACGCCTCCATGGTTAAAATCCGGTTTAAATGACGGGGAACCGCATAACGTCGCGAAAATAAAAACCCACGAATTCCAAAGTATGTGCAAAATGTTGAGCTCATCCAGATCTAACGTCCGTGGCAGAATCCAAGCTCATGGCTCTTTAACTTCATGGTTAAAATCCGGCTTAAATGACGGGGAACCGCATAACGTCGCGAAAATAAAAACCCACGAATTCCAAAGTAATGTGCAAAATGTAGAGCTCATCCAGATCTAACGTCCGTGGAAGAATCCAAGTTCGTGGCTCTTTAACTTCATGGTAAATATCTGGTTTAAATGACGGGGAACCGCATAACGTCGTTAAAATAAAAACCCACGAATTCCAAAGTATGTGCAAAATGTAGAGCTCATCCAGTTCTAACGTCCGTGGAAGAAACCAAGTTCGTGGCTCTTTAACTTCATGGTTAATATCTGGTTTAAATGACGGGGAACCGCATAACGTCGCGAAAATAGAAACCCACGAATTCCAAAGTATATCCAAAATGTAGAGCTCATCCAGATCTAACGTCCGTGGAAGAATCCAAGCTCGTGGCTCAACGCCTTCATGGTTAAAATCCGGTTTAAACGACGGGGAACCGCATAACGTCGCGAAAATAAAAACCCACGAATTCCAAAGTATGTGCAAAATGTAGAGCTCATCCAGATCTAACGTCCGTGGAAGAATCCAAGTTCGTGGCTCAACGCCTTCATGGTTTAAATCCGGTTTAAATGACTGGGAACCGCATAACGTCGCGAAAATAAAGACCCACGAAATCCAAAAATTGTGCAAAATGTAGAGCTCATCCAGATCTAACGCCCGTGGCAGAATCCAAGCTCGTGGCTCTTTAACTTCATGGTTAATATCTGGTTTAAATGACGGGGAACCGCATAACGTCGTGAAAATAAAAACCCACGAATTCCAAAGTATGTGCAAAATGTAGAGCTCATCCAGTTCTAACGTCCGTGGAAGAAACCAAGTTCGTGGCTCTTTAACTTCATGGTTAATATCTGGTTTAAATGACGGGGAACCGCATAACGTCGCGAAAATAGAAACCCACGAATTCCAAAGTATATCCAAAATGTAGAGCTCATCCAGATCTAACGTCCGTGGAAGAATCCAAGCTCGTGGCTCAACGCCTTCATGGTTAAAATCCGGTTTAAATGACGGGGAACCGCATAACGTCGCGAAAATAAAAAACCACGAATTCCAAAGTATGTGCAAAATGTAGAGCTCATCCAGATCTAACGTCCGTGGAAGAATCCAAGTTCGTGGCTCAACGCCTTCATGGTTTAAATCCGGTTTAAATGACTGGGAACCGCATAACGTCGCGAAAATAAAGACCCACGAAATCCAAAAATTGTGCAAAATGTAGAGCTCATCCAGATCTAACGTCCGTGGCAGAATCCAAGCTCGTGGCTCTTTAACTTCATGGTTAATATCTGGTTTAAATGACGGGGAACCGCATAACGTCGCGAAAATAAAAACCCACGAATTCTAAAGTATGTGCAAAATGTAGAGCTCATCCAGATCTAACGTCCGTGGAAGAATCCAAGCTCGTGGCTCTTTAACTTCATGGTTAAAATCTGGTTTAAATGACGGGGAACCGCATAACGTCGCGAAAATAAAAACCCACGAATTCCAAAGTATGTGCAAAATGTAGAGCTCATCCAGATCTAACGTCCGTGGAAGAAACCAAGTTCGTGGCTCTTTAACTTCATGGTTAATATCTGGTTTAAATGACGGGGAACAGCATAACGTCGCCAAAATAAAAACCCACGAATTCCAAAGTATATGCAAAATGTCGAGCTCATCCAGATCTAACGTCCGTGGAAGAATCCAAGCTCGTGGCTCAACGCCTTCATGGTTAAAATCCGGTTTAAATGACGGGGAACCGCATAACGTCGCGAAAATAAAAACCCACGAATTCCAAAGTATGTGCAAAATGTAGAGCTCATCCAGATCTAACGTCCGTGGCAGAGTCCAAGCTCTTAGCTCTTTAACTTCATGGTTAAAATCCGATTTAAATGACAGGGAACCGCATAACGTCGCGAAAATAAAAACCCACGAATTCCTAAGTATGTGCAAAATGTAGAGCTCATCGAGATCTAACGTCCGTGGAAGAATCCAAGCTCATGGCTCTTTAACTTCATGGTTAAAATCCGGTTCAAATGACGGGGAACCGCATAACGTCGCGAAAATAAAAACCCACGAATTCCAAAGTATGTGCAAAATGTAGAGCTCATCCGGATCTAACGTCCGTGGAATAATCCAAGTTCGTGGCTCTTTAACTTCATGGTTAATATCTAGTTTAAATGACGGGGAACCGCATAACGTCGCGAAAATAAAAACCCACGAATTCCAAAGTATGCGCAAAATGTAGAGCTCATCCAGATCTAACGTCCGTGGAAGAAACCAAGTTCGTGGCTCTTTAACTTCATGGTTAATATCTGGTTTGAATGACGGGAACCGCATAACGTCGCGAAAATAAAAACCCACGAATTCCAAAGTATATGCAAAATGTAGAGCTCATCCAGATCTAACGTCCGTGGAAGAATCCAAGCTCGTGGCTCAACGCCTTCATGGTTAAAATCCGGTTTAAATGACGGGGAACCGCATAACGTCGCGAAAATAAAAACCCACGAATTCCAAAGTATGTGCAAAATGTTGAGCTCATCCAGATCTAACGTCCGTGGCAGAATCCAAGCTCGTGGGTCTTTAACTTCATGGTTAAAATCCGGCTTAAATGACGGGGAACCGCATAACGTCGCGAAAATAAAAACCCACGAATTCCAAAGTATGTGCAAAATGTAGAGCTCATCCAGATCTAACGTCCGTGGAAGAATCCAAGCTCGTGGCTCAACGCCTTCATGGTTAAAATCCGGTTTAAATGACGGGGAACCGCATAACGTCGCGAAAATAAAAACCCACGAATTCCAGAGTATGTGCAAAATGTAGAGCTCATCCAGATCTAACGTCCGTGGAAGAATCCAAGTTCGTGGCTCTTTAACTTCATGGTTAATATCTGGTTTAAATGACGGGGAACCGCATAACGTCGCGAAAATAAAAACCCACGAATTCCAAAGTATGCGCAAAATGTAGAGCTCATCCAGATCTAACGTCCGTGGAAGAAAGCAAGTTCGTGGCTCTTTAACTTCATGGTTAATATCTGGTTTAAATGACGGGGAACCGCATAACGTCGCAAAAATAAAAACCCACGAATTCCAAAGTATATGCAAAATGTAGAGCTCATCCAGATCTAACGTCCGTGGAAGAATCCAAGCTCGTGGCTCAACGCCTTCATGGTTAAAATCCGGTTTAAATGACGGGGAACCGCATAACGTCGCGAAAATAAAAACCCACGAATTCCAAAGTATGTGCAAAATGTTGAGCTCATCCAGATCTAACGTCCGTGGCAGAATCCAAGCTCGTGGCTCTTTAACTTCATGGTTAAAATCCGGCTTAAATGACGGGGAACCGCATAACGTCGCGAAAATAAAAACCCACGAATTCCAAAGTATGTGCAAAATGTCGAGCTCATCCAGATCTAACGTCCGTGGAAGAATCCAAGTTCGTGGCTCTTTAACATCATGGTTAATATCTGGTTTAAATGACGGGGAACCGCATAACGTCGCGAAAATAAAAACCCACGAATTCCAAAGTATGTGCAAAATGTAGAGCTCATCCAGATCTAACGTCCGTAGAAGAAACCAAGTTCGTGGCTCTTTAACTTCATGGTTAATATCTGGTTTAAATGACGGGGAACCGCATAACGTCGCGAAAATAAAAACCCACGAATTCCAAAGTATGTGCAAAATGTCGAGCTCATCCAGATCTAACGTCCGTGGAAGAATCCAAGCTCGTGGCTCAACGCCTTCATGGTTAAAATCCGGTTTAAATGACGGGGAACCGCATAACTTCGCGAAAATAAAAACCCACGAATTCTAAAAATTGTGCAAAATGTAAAATGAGTTCTACATTTGGCA